GCAGGTGACGGCCTAGCGCGGCCCAGCCACGCCTCCAGCGCGTGAAAGAGCTCCAGCTCATCCTGCAGCACCAGGTCCGAGCGCTGCAGCAGCTGCGCCAGCAGTTCCGGGCTCACGGCGCCCCACTCGGTGCTCCCCGCCACCGCAGACAAGTTCCAGGCCAGGAACTGCAGGCAACTCTCTCGCAGGGCCTCATCCCCAGTGCTCACCGCATAATGGTACCAACCCACGGCCGGGCCCGCGCCGCCCGCCAGGTGAGCGCGCATGTAGTCCGCCACGCCGCGCTGCAGGGAGGCCACGCCATACTTGATGGCCAGCCGGTGCAAAGGGATGGCCTGCGGCAGCAGCACAGTCAGCTCGCCGCAGTACAGGTACCTGCCGGAGGGGCGGAGCGGTGGGGAGGTGTCAGGTCAAAGCCACCCACCTCTAGGTAGCCTCTGTGGTCAAGGGCGAAAACAAGACCGTGGGCCCTGTGGCTTCCGGTCTTTCACTCTTAGACCCTTCCAGACTGTTCCTATTGCCTGCCCTGTTCTTTGGGTTTCCGGTAGTGAAGTGGAAATCACGTGCATTTATTAAACATCTACCAGGTGCCTAACTGTTGGCCAGAACAGAGACAGACAGCTCCTGCCACTGCGGAATTTATAGTCTGGGTTCACAGCCATGTCCTCCCATGTATTTAGCAGGAGACTGAGCAAGTTTAAGCACGTGACCTTAAGCTACCCATCTAAGAAAAGTAACAAACAGCCCTCCTCGGGATTACTGTCACAATGGGAACAGCGTGAAGAACCTTGCTGCAAAGTTGGGGGTCAGCATAGGGGCCCCCTTGCTTGCAGTCTCATCTTTCTTTTCCTTTTTGTGGTTAACTCGCTGCCTCCTATGCCTCCCTATCCCTCCTGCAATCCCACTGGCGCACAGCATGTCTTCCACCTTGTCTCTTCCCGCTGCCGGGAACTTATGTCTCGAGCTTTGCAGCCATCTTGTCGAAGCCATTAGAACAGAGTTCCTTTCTGAGGCCGAGTGTAAATGATGAAGTAGGGTAGGGCAGGCACTAGCTAACCTTTCAGCTCCCTGCCACTGTGGTTCCAAACCCGGGCAGACACCAAAACCACATAGATACTTTAAAATTAAAAAGGACTGTTGTTCCCAATGCTACACCTGAAATTGACCATCCAGAGCAGGACCCTGGAATCTGTGGTTTCTGAAAACTCCACTGGCCAGGTTTGGAAACTGTTAGAGGGGCCACCATTTTGGGGGAGTGACCTCAAGCCACCGAGAGCACACAGGCAAAGGCAAGGAGCCATGTTCTGCAAGAGGACAGCGGGAGAAGGGATGAAGGAGATGGTGCACTGTCATCTGTCCTAGTGACATCGGCCAGTAGACACCGTGACTCTAAGGGCTGCTGGTGGAGAGCCAGGGGCTGGGGAAGTGGCGAAGCGTCCCCAGCCATTCCCCTCCATACCTGACAAACTTGTCGAAGACGGCAGCGCAGTCCCGGGGCTCCTGCAGCACCACCTCGCTCTGGTTGCTCAGCAGCTCCCGGAACAGCTCGCTGTGCAGCCCCAGCAGCAGGCGGTGGCCGTGGAAGACTCGGACCTCGTCGGTGCCTGTAGCCTGCACTCGCAGGACCACGTCACTGGCGTTGCCCTGCCGCAGCAGCTCCTGCAGGCGGTGGAGTAGCATCTGGGAGTGGTTGATGGAGGTGCCTGCTGCCTCCCCGCCCACGTCGGCTCTCTGCGCTGCAGCAGAAGGGACAGAGCACAGCCGAGAAGTCACCTGGGGTCTGGGGCCTCCCCGTCTAGGGTGCGGAGAAATCAGCCAGAAATACTTGTATGCAGGAGGAGGGCCGGAGGGCCCAGGGAGAAGCCATTCCCGCACACCTGTGTGTGTGCGTGCCAGAGGGGACCCACGGGCACTCTGGGTGGACAGGACGTGCTGATGCAGGCCTGAGAGGATGTTCTGAGAAGCAGGGAAGACAGCATTCTCTCGGGAGGGATGAGCGAGAGGTCCCAGACCAGCTCCGGTCTCCACGGACTGTTGTCCACGATGCCAGACCTCCCCAAGCAGGCAAAGAGTTGAGGCCACTCTTGGTCCTTAGCCCATTTGCTTCCTGCACAACTGTCCACCTAACCACTCGGGGCAGGGGCACCTTCACTGACAGATATTTACTGAGTATCTGTTATGTCCCACACACTCTTAAGAGCCTGAGCTATGACAATGGGCAAAATAAACCAAGTCCTTACTCTCGTGGGCGCACAAGTGAGCATATCGGGCAGGTAATAAGTACATAGATAAGCACTCTAGTTTCAAAGGAGGCAGCCAGGGACTGAGCCCATGTGGAGGCAGAGGGACCAGGCCTTCAAGGGGATTTGTCCGGCGTAGTGAGTGGGAGGAGAGAGTCAAACAGAGGCCAGGTGATAGGAGAGGAAGAGAAACTGATTTCCAGGTCCATCCTGCCCCGCTGGGCTGTGAATCTGAGACAGTGGGGGCCACGGGGAGTCCCAAGGCCAAGCTGGTGCTGGAGTAGGATCCTCGGGGGAACTGGGAGTCAAGGATGGTGACCCTCTGCAGATGGCCAGGTGTTCACACTTCCCCGGGTGCGTGTTGGTCATGTGAGAAAACTCAGGGAGTGCTCTGGTGGCTTTCCTGAGCCGAGAGCCGTGTGGAGAGCTTTGTAGAGGGAGCAGTGAGGTGGGCACTGGCCACACTCTCACATGTGGGCATGCACAGGACATGGCCTGTGAGGACAGGTGGGGAGCTGGCTCACACGAGAGCCAAGCATCTGCGAGGGAGACCCAGGGAGAAAGGGAGGCAGAGAGACCGATGGTGAATTTCCCAGCCCCGCCTCCCCAGCTGTCACTTTGAAGGACCTGAATGCTGATGGCGTCCCCATTCGGCGCCTGGGACAATGGATAAATGGAGGGTCTGCTTGTAACTAAGACCCCTGCCACTGCCCAGTCCCCCCTCCCACTGAGGCAGGCCGCCCTCCTCCCTTCTGGGAGATGTGTCTGTGGGGCTGTGGGGTGCTCTCCCAAGCTGCTGCATGCCCCCTTCCCGCTGGCCATGTGCATGAAGGCTGGAAGGATCCGCCCTAGCCCGCACCCCCACTCTGCCCCGCGCCCACTCACCTGCATGAGTGACCAGGCCCACCAAGGCCAGGATGGCCCAGAAGCTGCCCCAGGACCCAGGCTTGCAGTGCCCTGTCCTAAGCATCTTCGTTCTCTGCCCCAAGTCCACTGGAGGGACAGAGACGCTCAGCCCACTCGGATGTCATCCCTCCTCCTTATATAGGATCTCGCACAGGGGACGGCTCCCCCCTTCCTGGTAGGCCTCCCTCCCCCCACCCAGCCTCTGCCATGGATTGGTGGAAATTGGCCCCTGCTGTAATATAGGATCGCACAGGGGACGGCTCCCCCCTTCCTGGTAGGCCTCCCTCCCCCCACCCAGCCTCTGCCATGGATTGGTGGAAATTGGCCCCTGCTGTTGCCTGGGCAACCTCTTAAGCCAGAGAGTGGCAGCCCCAAGGGCTATTGTGCTGTCCTGGGCCCCCATGGGGAACAGATCCGGCACCCGCCTCCCCCACCACTCCTCACAGCTCAGCAAAGCTAGCTGATCCTCCCCCGGGGAGTCTTAGGCTCCCTAAAGGACAAGAAAGGAGCTTCAGGACCACTGTCTGGAGGACACCAGGGTCTCAGCCCCTCCTCCAACCGCAGGCCCAGCCCCTGGCCTGGCACACAGCACACTTGGCAGCATCGTGGCTGGAGCGCCATGGTGAGCCAGCTGCAAAGGAAGAGCCTGGAAGAGGGAGTGCAGGCTCCCACCCCTCCCCCACTCCTGTTCTGGGGAGGATCAGCTCTCCCGAGAGGAGGGCAAGGACCTGGAAGAGGGGTCTGTGGGGGACTGGATCGTTTCAATGTCCCTTGTTGAAGAAGGTCCTTGGCATGCTCCAGGGAGGGTGATGGTCATTAGGAAAGCTCCACGGGAACCACGTCCATCCCCTCCCCAGGGTCAAGGTGAGCCCAGTTGGCAGAGCTGGGCACACAGCAGAGGGAGCCTTCCATGCTCCATGGGGTGCACCCTGCCTGGGGCAGGCCTGGACACCTTCCAGGAGGCTGACCTCAGTAGGCAGCCTGGCCTCCTACCCAGCCAGCCAGTGCGCGGACCTGAGTCCCAAGCAGGGTACGCTCTACTCCCTTCTGCTAATTTGTCGCCCCTCGGCGGCTGCATGTTCTCCTGCTAGGAAAGGCTTTCATCAACTTCTGATTTCCAATCCTTCCTTTCCCAGAGTTCCAAGGAGACATGCCGCAAACCTGGAACCCCATTCTACCTGTAGGGAAACTGAGGCAGAGAGTTAGGCAGTCTCCATGTTGTAGTGCAAAAGAGAGCTTTTCTGAAAACAAAGATGTGGAGAGAGGTGGGTGAAGTTTAGAGGAGAGAGAGAGAGAGGGAGAGCGGTGCGGGGGTGCTGGACAGACCTCACCCCAGCACCTGCCTCAGCTCCTCAGGGAAGGACGTCTTTGGGATAGATGAGCTGAAGTGGGTAGCTCCTGAGGAGATTTGGCTCCCGCCCTGGATTGGGCACGGCTTGGAGTTTCCCTGCCCTTGCTGTCCGGATCCCAGAGCCCAGCTCCCTCTGTTGATTTCTGCCCCCAGCTGTCGCAGACTCAACAGCTCCACCCACTTCTCTGGAGCCACAGAGAGGCAAAAACAGGCTCTGGCAGCAACCTCATCCGGGTTGGCAGAGTCAGAACTGTCCGGCTCAGCGGAAACCCCTCCCAGTTGCCCCGACTCTCACGCCTGGTCCCCTCATCCACATCCACCGTCCCCTGCCCACTGGCAGCCTGCCTGCCCTTCCTTCGAACTGCACCGTTTCCTGGCTCACCCCACTCACCCCAATAAGTCAGAGCCACCATGCAACAGAGCAGCCTGGTCCCCTGGGGGGCTTCCTAGCATCTATGCCTGCTCATCAAGGGGAATGTCACTGGTCCAAGAACCCACGGCCCGGCACACTTTCATTCTGTGGACATTCGTGTCAGCTTTCTGTCACTGTGACAAAATGCCGGAGGTAGACACCTTGAAAGGAGAAAAGGTTTATTTTAATTCCTGGTCTCAGAGATTTTGGTCCGTGGTTGCTTTGCTCGCTAGCTTTCAGCCTGTAGTGGGTGAAGCAGCACAACATGACAGAGAGAGTGGATAGCAGAGGGTTAGGGCTCAGAATGCACCCTTAAAAACCTCACTGTTTTGAGGGCTTCATTAGCAGCTAATGGGATTTGAAGAACCGGATGGATCATAAGGGCTTTCACTTCATCAAGTGGATTAATCCACTGATGAGTTCATGACTTTAAGGGAGCCAGTGGGAGGTGGGGCCTCACTAGACGAGATGGTCACTGAGGCATGTCTGCAAAGGGTAGAGCGTCCTCTCCTGCCCCTACTTCTCTGGCCTCTCCCCCACTCTCCTTCCTAACTGGCAATCAATGTTTCTGCTTGGGGCAGAAACCTCTGAAACTGTGAATCAAAATAACCTTTTCTCCTTTAAATTGTCTCTTCGCGGTATTTGATCACAGCGGTGAAAAGTTAACTAATACAGAACGAAACTGCTCACCCATGGCAGCCAGGAAGCAAAGAAAGAGAGAGGGATAGGAGCCAGGTCCCCATCCCTTCTTTAAGAGCACACCCCCACATGCTACCTCCTTCAGGGAGGCCCACCTCACAAGTTTCCTCCACTTCCCAGCAGTGCACCATCTGGGGACCAAACCTTGCACAAGTATCTCTTGGACAGACAGCCCTCATCCAAACTGCAACAACACACTCCTTCGCGCCGGCCTCCTCCAGCGTCTGCCCCAGTCTTTCTGGAAGCCTGGCCCTCCTGCCCTGGAATCTCCATGCTCCCCCTGGGAACCAGATTCTCAGGTGTGAGCTTGGGCATCTTTTTTTTTTCTAGGCACCCCCCTAGATAAGTGCTATGGACACCCCAGGCTAAGAACCACCTACTAGAGTTCAGTGGGTGCCATTTCAAGTGGGAATGGATCCGGGAGGCTGTGGGTTTCCAGGAAAACCCAGGAGGGTCATCTGTGATTCCCCACCTCTGAGAGACCCCTTTCTATCATGTCTAGCCTCCCTTATCCCTGACCCCCCTCTAATGCTTTAGAAACTGACTTTCCAAATGAAGGTGCCATATTGTCACTTCTAGGTCCAAAGGTTGCTGGGTTTTGTGCATGTGGGTGAGGGACTTATGTGTGTGTGACATGTGTACACATGTGTGTGTGTGCGTGTGTGTGTCTGGTGCAAGAGAGGGCAGCATGGCATTTACCATCCAGTCTACGAGGTTATAAATCTACAGCACCATGTTTTCTTCTGCCCTAAGTCAGAGGCTCCATTGTTCCTTGAGAGCAAGTCTGCAGAAGAACGGTTCCCTGAGAGGACCGTGACCTCCCATCACACCAGCCCATTCACCCAAGCACCTTGCCTGAGTGTGACAGGGTCTTGGAGAGCCAGGGTTCAAGTGTCATTGAGCTCTGCTTGGCTGTGCTTTCACAACCCCATTCTGGCTTTTCTGGGAAGCTATTTCAGTCCAGATCGATGCTCTCTTGTCAAAGTGTCTCCATGCTGTGGAGGCAATTGGAATCTCCACCACACTTGGGGCAGAAGGAGAAGCTTCTAATCTGGAGAGGGGTGATTGGACCCCAGGCTGTTGGAGCCCTGAGGAAGGGTGGGCCACAGACCCAGCCCTACCCCGACCTGGCTGCCTCCTTACATCTGTGAAGTCTCCGGTCCTGGGCAAGGGCTCCAGGAGTGACTTGCACACTGCTTTGGGAAGAAGGACTCATGGTTAGTACACACTGCCAGAAGCCTCCAGGGCCATATGCGCCTTCCTGCTCAGACCCTCAGGCTGCTTCCGTCTGGAATAACCTTCCAGGTCAGGGCACTGTGCACCTGACCCATGGCTCTCTTGAGTTTATGGAAGCCCCTCCTTTCCAAGGAGGTTGTGTGAGGGTGTGAACGGGGAACCACTCTGGGGAGAAGTGGGGGGTGGACCTGAGTTCGAATTCCAGTTGCCAAATGCTAGCTCCATGAGTCTTGCTGCTTCGCTTGACCTCTCTAAGCCTTGGTCTCCTCCTGTGTAAAATGGGAGTATCGAGAGTTGCTTGTGGGGCTGCTGTGAGGATGGAAAGTATAGGGACAGGAAAATGAATGACCCACCTGGTGCTCCTGCCCCAGTGGCGCAGGCTGGATTGCACCTGTGGCCAGAGGAGTGGTGGTACACAGCTGTAATCCCAGCACTCCGAGAGACCAAGTCAGGAGGATAATCAGTGCCCACCCAGCCTGGGCAACTTGGTGACTTTGCGAAATTGGGCCTCGATTTAAAATCTTCTTTTAAGATGGAAACAAAGTATTTGTAGATGGGGAGGGGAGGAGGGGGTGAAGGGAGGGCAGGGGTAAGGGGAAAAAATGAGAATCAAGACTTATCATGTGGAGGTACAAGATCCCAGCAATGAATGTAACTGTACTGTATCCCTAAAATGTACCAATAAACTCAATTAAAGCTGAAAAAAAAATCTTGTTTTAGCCAGTCAAGGTGGCTCAGGCCTGTAATCCTAGCACTTAAGAAGCTGAGGCTGGAAGATGGCCACATGTTCAAGGCCAACCTGGATTACATAGTGAGACCCCGTTTCCAAACAAATAACAACAACAACAACAACAACAAAATGTAAAAAGGGCTCGGGATGTAGCTTAGTGTGAAGGCCCTGGGTTCAATCCCCAGGTCAAGGTGTGCTGCTGGGTTTGTTTCTTTTGGTTTTGTTAGTTTTGTTTTTTTGAGACAAGTCTTGCTGAGTAATTCAGGCTGTAGCCCAGGCCTCCAGCTTGCAGGGATCCTTCTCCCTCAGGCTCCTGAGTGCTGGCATCAAAGGGCACCCCCATGTCTGGCCCTGTGGTGCTGTTGGTGACATCTCTTGCTCCCCCAGGCTGGCTCAGAGACGCCTGCCTCACTGACCCACCCCGGCCGCTGACACTGGCACCACTCAGGAAGGAATCACCCCACCAAGAAGGATCCTTGGCCGGGCTGTCTGTGCCCAGTGATGACGGCCCTGTCCCTGCCATCACCTGTGCCCATTAGGCTGCTGCCACTTCCCTGTCCACTCTGTGGCAGTACTGACGTCTGTTGAGTGAGCTGTGCGTGCTCAGACCCTGGCTCTCACATCACAGAGCCTAACCCTACTGCCTGCATTAGAAGGTTGTCCATGGGGTGCAGGGGATCTCAGGGACCCCACACCCTACAGGACAGCACCACCATCCTGGCCTCAGAGGCACCTCCTGTGCACAGCGCTTCTTGTCTCAGCCTTGCCAGGTCACTGGGGTCCTCACAGGCCATGCAGGAAAGCAGCACCTCTGAAGGCACCACTGGGATTCCTGCAGGTCACCTGCGCGTCCCCAGAACAGGGCTCCGCAAGGATGGGCCCATGGGTAGAGCCACAGGGCTGGCCGAAGGCTGCAGGCAGAGGTGAGCTGATCATGCTCCTTCCACTGACTCCTGATCCCAAAGCCTCAGCGCTCTGCTCAGGCCAGGAGAGCCTTGGCTGAAGACGAAGTGCTCTGTCTGGAGGGTACTCGGCTTTCCAGTAAGATACGCGTCCCTCAAAGCCAAGTGTAGGTACAGGGTAGGGAGCCTCGCTTCCCTGCAGGCACAGGTGGTCTTTCCCTCCCCTAGAAGGGGGCTGTGCCTCAAATTCACTCCTGGCTTCAGGGTACAGGGAGGTGGCAGCCTGGGGAGTCTGTGCTACTTGTGCTTTCCCGGCTGGGGTCCATCTGCCATGGGGCCTTGACCTGAGGCGCTAGCGCCTGCCCTGGACCCACTGTGCTTCCCAGGAAGCTCAGACACTCGCAGGATCTGGGTGTGGCCACCAGGGGGCAGCAAGTGCCAAGGTGGGGTTTGGGGTCAAGGTGAGTTGGCTCCATCCCCGGACACGCGTTCTGATTTAGGCCAGGGAACACCCAACATACCCAGGGGTGGCTGTGCCCACGGCTCCAGGCTGGGCCTCAGCTCTGACCCAGGTGGTCTCCTGGGAGCCTGTGTCCCAGTGCCCATGGTGGGCTGCTCTGGTCACACTTCCTCCGGGTGAGGGCGCTGCTAGGTATAGATTCCAGCCTCTGCAGAGCCTGCGGGCTGCTGTGTATTTGCCAGGGACGGATGTCCTTGAAGGATGCTCTATTTCAGCATGCCCAGGAAAACAGCAGCCTGGCCAGGCTTTTCCTGGGTGGGAGGGGCAGTGACCCCACCACTGCACAAGGGCTTCCTGCCATCTTCCTGGTCAGCGGTCACTCGGAGTGGCCTCCGGCTCTTCTCACCCCACGTGGCCTCGGTGGGTGCCACCCCTTGACCCTGACCCCTCGGGACCTCAAGGGATCTGAGCCTTGTCCCAAAGTGGCAGCCTCGCCTCTCCCACACGGCACCACTGGCCCAGCCCTTGGGCAGAAGCGTCCTCCCTTACAGCCAGCCAGGGCCTTCAGCGTGTCGGTGCCCATAGAGTCAGCTCCCTGAACCCTCCTGCCCTCCCGGAGTCCTCCCACCCAGGGTGCGGCCGCCCCTGCTGAGCGGGCCAGGCTGCAGGTGCCCTGGACCCGGATTCCGCCTTCCTGCCCTTCACGCCCCCTTGCCCCTGCAGACAGCCCTCAGCCCTGCCCCAGCCGCACTCTTTCTCCATCGCAGCCCCACTCAGCCCGCCAACTTCCCTGCCTCGTCCCGGTGGGACCCACTGGAGCCTCAGTCCCTGGAGCCTTCGCCCCACCCTCTCCTCCCTCCTCCCCACCCCCACTCTGCACTAACGCTCAGTGCGGCTGGAGAATCGTGGGGCAAACAACCTCTTGGAGAGCCGGGAGGAGGCTGTGGAGACCCCCGGGAAAGGCCCTGGTGACCTGGGGCTGAGGACCCGGGAGCATGGGGCTGGAGGGACTGGAGACAGGTACGGTACCCTGAAACGGGGTGCAGGACACAGGCCAGGGACCTGGAGGCTGGGAGGGGGATTTGAAGCTGATAGCGAGTGGGCCGTGAGATGGGGCGCTGAGGGTTATTTAGCTGGAGGCTGGGCCCCATCTGCATCAGGAAATCAGAAGCTAGAAGTTAAAACCTAAACAGGCTTCAAGTATAGTTTGAGGGGAGCAGAACGCAAAGCAGGTGGAGAGCCCTCATCCCAGAATGGCCTCTCCCTACCCCTGGGGACTCAGTTTCCCCATCCGAAAGGAAGCTAGGACCATGCCAGCCTTAGCAGCGCTGCCCTGGGAAGGGATGCTCTTGGCTGAGGAAGAGGGGAACCCAGTAGCCATTCCTGAGAGGAGGGAGCTGCAGCCGCAGAGTGGAGCCGGGCAGCTGCTGGGAGCCACCGCGGTCAGAGTCGCCTGGCACCTTCTTAAAGGCATAGGAGGATGAGGAGCCCAGGGAGCAGCGCAGTCCCCGCCACCAAGGGCTTCTTGCGGCACTTGGGGCGGGGCCGCGCAGGCAGGGGATCTGGAATTTTCTTGTGACAGAGATCACCATGTGGCTGGGCCCCTTCTGGGGGTCTCTGCTGGGAGCAGGGCTGACCAGAAGGACTCAGGGTCAGGCTGGGGCTGCTCCGAGCCCAGCTGGAAAGAGGACTACTGCTCCAGCCCTGTCCTTCTGCCCTTCCTAGCTGGCCGGCCACCCGTGATCCTGCTGCCCACACCCAACGCAAGTGCACGGGGCGAGGAGTTTGAAGGCCCCTGGCCAGAGATCCCAGCCAGGTCACCGTGTGTGGCTGGGGTCATCCCTGTCATCTACTACAGCGTCCTGCTGAGCCTGGGGCTGCCTGGTGAGTGGGGAGGCGCAGTCTGGGGTCTCAGGCTTGGCCGGAAGTCAGGGCCCTCCTGAGGCCCAGGATCACAGATGGGGTCTCCTCTTGCCTCTATGGGGTGTTCTGGATCACTGGGCAGTGAAAAGTAGAGAGGAGTAAAAGTGAGGGACCAGCCCCAGTGCTGCGGCACACACCTGTAATCCCAGCACCCAGAAGGCTGAGGCAGGAGGACTGCCTCAAGTTTGAGACCAGCCTGAGCTACATAGCAAGACCCTGTCTCAAAAGAACAACAAAAAGGGAAGGGGTGGCTGGGCCTGCCTTGGGAATCTCCCCAAGTCTGTAGATAAACCAGGGCCTGTGCTCAGGGAAGCCTCTGCCCCGAGGACACAGAGCACCTGACAGCCACCTGGAGGGGACAGGTGGACAAGGGTGGGGGTTTGGATGGACAGGGCAAGACCGACGTGCTCAGCCTTCTCAGCAAAGTGGGCTGTTTTGGCGGGGTTTTGTTTGTTTTGTGGTGCTGGGGAGGGAACCCAGGGCCTCCTACATGCCGGGCAGGCTCTGAACCACTGAGCCGCCCCAGCCAGCAAGGAGGGTTTTCAGAAGGAGCCGGACAGAGGAGACAAGAAGCCAGCCATGCCAGCACGGGCCGGCGGGGAGGGACCGTAGGACACCTTGGTGGGCAGGCTCTGGGGGCCCCTTCTAAGACCTCTGACCTCTCCCTGTGACCTTGCTGGCCTTCTTCAGTCAACCTGGTGACCACTGTGGCCCTGGCCCGCCTTGCCGCCAGGACCAGGAAGCCCTCCTACCAGTACCTTCTGGCGCTCACAGCCTCGGACATCGTCACCCAGGTGGTCATCGTGTTCGTGGGCTTCCTCCTGCAGGGCGCCGTGCTGGCCCGCCAGGTCCCCCGGGCCGTGGTGCGCACGGCCAACGTCCTGGAGTTTGCTGCCAACCACGCCTCAGTGTGGGTCGCCGTCCTGCTCACGGTGGACCGCTACAAAGCCCTGTGCCACCCCCTGCACCACCGGGCCACCTCGTCCCCCGGCCAGACCCGCCGGGCCATTGCTGTCATGCTCAGCGCGGCGCTGCTGACCGGTGTCCCCTTCTACTGGTGGCCGGATGTGTGGAGGGACGCGGACCCGCCCAGTGCGCTGGACGAGGCCCTCAAGTGGGCGCACTGCCTCCTCGTCTACTTCGGCCCCCTCGGCATCTTCCTGGCGGCCAACTCAGCCATCATCTTCCGGCTCCGAAAGAGGGGCCGGAGCGGGCTGCGGCCTGCGGTGGGCAAGAGCACGGCCATCCTCCTGGGCGTCACCTCGCTCTTCACCCTCCTCTGGGCCCCGCGGGTCGTTGTCATCCTCTACCACCTGTACGTGGCCCCCGTGCACCGGGACTGGAGGGTGCACCTGGCCTTGGACGTGGCCAACATGGTGGCCATGCTCAACACAGTGGTAGGGGCCGGAGCGGGCTGCGGCCTGCGGTGGGCAAGAGCACGGCCATCCTCCTGGGCGTCACCTCGCTCTTCACCCTCCTCTGGGCCCCGCGGGTCGTTGTCATCCTCTACCACCTGTACGTGGCCCCCGTGCACCGGGACTGGAGGGTGCACCTGGCCTTGGACGTGGCCAACATGGTGGCCATGCTCAACACAGTGGTCAGTGGTC